GAGGAATAAATTATAATCGAGGCAGGGAGGGAAAACGACAGGTGAGAGGGATGACTAATTAAGGGAGAGCAAACAGGCCAGATCATGACAGTATGTGGCATTGAGTCGTAGGCTTTCACTGATATCCTGTGTTTCCTGTGGTTTTCTTTTTCTGATGAGGCTAAATCTGTGTTGCCTTTTTTTTGTCAGACATGTTAACTGTTTATCAAAGTTTTACTGATCAGATGAGACCTGCCTCAGCACCAAGTGTCTCAGCTTGAAGCACAGGTACACAACATAATTTTCACAGATGCAACCAGCACATCTATAGAGTTATTTCTTTTCATTAGCCATACGATATTTTTTGTTTCGTTTGATTTTTTATGGGATTTTTTTTTTTAACAGTGGCCATCTTGGCAATGTGGCAAAAAAAATAATTGTCTTGATGCCAATATAAGCCCAACAGATTTTACTTTCACAAGTGGAGCATTAGCGCTCTTGCCATAGTGTTCCGCTTGTTTCATGCATATAAATTGCTTTATTATAATTATGCAGGGACTTTTACAGATTCTATGGACACTGCAATGTAAATAGAACAGAAGAGGAACAACAGAAAAAAAGGAAAAAAGATAAAAGAAAGAGGAGATAAAACATTTTCAGTCTGCTTCATCACCTGTTAAGAGATGTAAAAAGAACAGCACAACCAACAGAGACGGTACAAGACATACGATAAAGTAATCACCTAGATACTATCGCTGAAGTGGTATTATTTAATCTGACATGTACTCTGTGGTACCTGAAGATAAGAATGTGGGCTTTCTGTATGGAAGTGAATCTCTAAGTACCTGGAACCAAGCAACTCACTGGAAAAAATCCAAACCTAGATCAGTCATTTATTCTTAAAATAAGTTCATTTGTTCTTGGATTGAGGAGGTAAAAGAGACATTTTGCCAATGGAACAAGACAGTTTAGATTTAAAATAAGAAAACACCATTGAATTGTCTTATTTCAAGTGCATATTATCTAATTATCTTATTTTAAGAGTAAAAATACTGATTCCATTGGCAAACTATCTTCTTTACCTACTCAAATTAAGGGTAAATACACCTAATTAAATACATTTTTACTTATTTCTAGATTGTTTTTGCAGTGCTGTAGTTGTTTGTGAGAGTGCACTTGTGCATGTAAAATTTATCCAAAGGAAAAATGCTCAATAGTGGTTGTGGAGAGCCGAAGAGGCGCCCCCCCAGAGTTCTGAGTCCAGTATTGGGAGACCCAAAGCCCCAGAGGCCCAAAGGGACCCCAAGAGCAAAGGCACCAAGGAGGGGCCAGCCCAGGAAATCCAACCCCCACCAAGGGAGGAGGAGAGACAGCCCCGAGGAAGCCCCCCAGCCATCACAATGCCGCAGCCTCGGGGACGCCGACAGCCAGCCACCCCGAAGTGAATCTAGCCCTTGGCCCCAGGGATCCAAGGCCTCAGGGGCGCCACAAACAAACCCATGGGCTATAATATGTATTCCT